GACAACCATTTGTCTGAAATGGCATAGGATTTCCTGTTTGCTTAGGGGGCTGGATTAGAAGACCTCCAAGGTCCTGTCCAACTCCTCGATTCTGTTCTGTTTATCTATCTATCTATCTATCTATCTATCTATCTATCTATCTATCTATCTATCTATCTATCTATCTATCTATCTATCTATCACATTTCTGAACCCTCCATCTCCCTCACATATATAGATGTGCCACCTTCTCTGACTAGTGCAATGGCTAGGCGCAGGATGGCAGTTGTATCCAAATTCCCATTATTTCTCTGACATTTATCATTAGATTTATATCCCATCTTTCCTTCAAGAGGCAAAGGAGGCATACTTAACATCTCCTCCTATATTTCCTGAAAACAGCAATCCAACACCAAAAACAATACACAAGATAATTGAGTCTGAAACAGGGCGACTAGTCTGTAGACACCAAGTTTTCTATGGCTGAAGCTTCTCTGGGTTTTCTCAATGCTAATCCAATTTTTAATCATTGTAACCTCACTGATTCTCTAAGCTGTGATGGCAGTGCAATTTAACTACTGTACAATTAACACTCTTTTTCCTGCCATTCAAGTCAATAGGAAGTTTGGCACGGAGGGGATAAAGAAGAAACAGCCCTCCACTTCCCTCTGCCTCAGTCTTACTATCATTGTAAAAATGAAAATACTGTCTAACTCTGCATCTATTCCCAAAACATCTCAACTTTTATATAAATCCCACATGAATAAAATGGCTGGGTTCACTATTATTTAATTGTAAATCACTAAATAAATAAGTATCTGAATTTGCACAAAACATTAAGTCATAGTTTACAAACCACTAAGGCTGGCTTCACAAAACATACTGTACACATACTGTACACATGCATCTTATGCTAATCCCTTTTGGGACAAGCAACATTATGTAGAAAAAGAATAAGAAGAAGCAATGAAAAGCAATTAAATCCAGAGACAAAACAGCAGAAAACTAACTAAATTAGAGTTGCACTAAAACTATACCTCTTTGTTCCTTAAACAGTAAAGAGATGTTAGGTTTACTCAAAAAGTATAGTTCCTGGGCTGTAGACCAGTGTTTCACAACCTTGACAACTTGAAAGCATGTGGCTGGGGAATTCTGGGGGGGTTGAAGTCCACAATTCTACAAGTTATCAAGGTTGAGAAATACTGCCATAGATATTTGCTCAGCAGATACTGTAGTGTGTCAATAGCAATGGGTTAAAAGTATCTTCACCTCCCTGCAATACTATTGGAAAGGTTTTCGGGATGCAGGAACTGCTTGAATCAAGCACAACAGCTCAGGGTTCTCTAAATCCCTGCTGAAAGTGAAGAACTTGAGCCTGTGAGCCTGCAAGGAAACACATGCAAAGTCATATTTCACACATTAATGCCAAACTGCACCGTATTTGCTTGATTTGGAGTTGTGAAAACCTAGCCACTATGGTTTGTAAGCCAAGTTTTCTGCTTCGAATGTTGTTCGAATGCAGCAGTTGTCACTCATTTAATTACTCAGCCTTGAATAAACCATAATAATAATAATAATGATAAAGTTGGAAGGGACCTTGGAGGTCATCTAGTCCAATCCCCTGCTCAGGCAGGAAACCCTATACCATTTTGGACAAATGGCTGTCCAGTACTCGTTTATATAAACTAAATCTCTGTGTACTTCTTTTGTTTTTGGTTTAATAACATATAAAGTGAATCCAGCCATTGTAATATGTATCTTAGGAAGCTGGGCAAAAACAGCCTTTTTATTCAATGAGCCATGATTTGATACTGTGTCCAAACGCAGAAACAGCTCCTGAAGCATGTGAGCAGAGTCGCCTGAACTGCAAGATGGGAGGTAAATAAATAAATAAATAAATAAGCTGTTCAAAAGAAAGAAGGGAAGAAGTGAAAGGGTGGACATGGGCTACAGTGACATCTGCAGCAAACCATGATGATATCAAAATAATAGTACTTTCACAGTCTTCCAAAACATCCTTGGTTCTACCATATCTACAGTATACCCTGATTTTGTTATTTAGAGCTCACTTCTCTCTTTTGGAGAATCTCATTCAGCTTTACCCAAGGACAAATTTCTTGGTCTTTTCCTCCTCTCAACCCTTTTGCATGTTCGTTTATTTCTTTTGCATCTCCATCCTCATTTCTTATCTATAAGCAAATGTCCTCAACATCTGTCTCTTGGATTGGTCACTCTGTTTTGTATTCATTCAGTAGCAGTTTCAGTTGAATCAGTATTTTCAATCTGAAACAAACCAAAGCAATACGAGGCATCAGAGGACAAGAAAAACTATAGTTGAGGCCCAACAGTTGCTCTCAGGTGCAGACTGAGTTCATACAATATGTTGTTAAATCAAAATGTCATTTGTTTTTAAAAGAGTAAATGTTTAAATAGCCAGTGTTATTTGTACACCAAGATTTAGAATAGAGTAACAGAGTTGAAAGGTACCTTGGAGATCTTCTAGTCCAACCCCCTGCTCAAGCAGGAAACCCTATACCAGTGATGGCGAACCTTTTAGAGACTGAGTGCCCAAACTGCAACCCAAAACCCACTTATGCATTGTCGAGTGCCAGGTGGGTGTGGCCCATTGGCTGGGCATGGTCCATTGGGTGGGCGTGGCTGCGGTGGTAATGGCAGACTGGGTGGGACTAAAAAGTTCAATCAATCAATTCCAACTTTGCAAGATCTTTTTTTTCCCGCGAGAAGTTAAAATTGACTGATTGAACCTTTTTTTTTTTTGCACACGGCAGCGGAGGCCTAAAGTGAAAAGGTTTTATAAAACCCAGCTGAAGGCCTAGGATTGGGGCAACGGTGCATGTGCCCACAGAGAGGGCTCTGAGTGCCGCCTCTGGCACCCGTGTCATAGGTTCGCCACCACTGGCCTATACCATTTCAGACAAATGGCTGTCCAGTCTCTTCTTAAAAACTTCCAGTGTTGGAGCATTCACCACTTCTGGAGGCAGGTTGTTCCACTGGTTAATTGTTCTAACTGTCAGGAAGTTTCTCCTTAGTTCTAGGTTGCTTCTCTCCTTGATTTGTTTCCATCCATTGCTTCTTGTCCTGCCTTCAGGTGATTTGGAGATTTGCTTCTTCTTTGTGGCAATTCCTGAGATATTAGAACACTGCTATCATGTTACCCCAGTTCTTCTTTTCATAGACATACCCAATTCCAGCAACCGTACTTTATATGTTTTAGCCTCCAGGCTAGATTTATATATAATCCACTAGGCTAAAATGTAGTGCATTTGTAACTCAGTACAAAATCCAGCAGGTATTGTTCAGAATTTTGCAGAAATCTTGATAACTAGATTAATTCATTCAATCATGATTCAGTTAAGTATCGGTTGGCATATATGTGTAGATACAGTACAAGACAATGTTCTAATCTTACAAGTGATATTTTTTCAACCAGCGGCTAAATCAGCAGGAACTACCATTTTTCCGTAAGCTCTTCTGAACAGATAAGCAGAATTCCTCAAAGCACAGTAAGACTTGCTTTACTATCGTATTATGATAAGTACTATATCTATATGTAAAAGTGTGGTCAAGGTCACAAGCAGCTCAGTCCCTTCAGAGGATTAGTGCTCTTATATTTGTGTAGACATTATATAGCCCTAAACCATAAACTGTCCGGAGATAGGCAACTAAATAGACCATGATTGGCAAAATACAGTTCAGGGATCTCTAAACTGCAAAGAGTCAAAACTAAATAAATCAGGTTAAATTTGGCATAATGTGTAAAGCCAGCCAATGTGCTTTCCCATCCATGAACCATGCTGATTGTTTAGGACTCAGTGTTTCTCAACTTTGACAATTTTAAAGCATGTGGACTTCAACTCCCAGAATTCCACAGCCAGCATTGCTGGCTGTGGAATTCTGGGAGTTGAAGTCCACATGCCTTAAAATTGTCAAGGTTGAGAAACACTGGTAGGTGCTCAGGTAGTCCTCAACCTATGACCACAACTTTGGCCAGAAGTTACACTGCTAACAAGGCAGCTGTTAAGTGAGTCATGCCCAATCTTACAACTGTTTTGCCCGTGGTTATTGAGTGAATCACTGCAGTTGTTAAGTGAATCACATGGCTGTTGAGTGAAACTGGCTTCCCCCGTTGACTTTCCTTGTCGAAAGCTGAAGGCTGAAATTGCAAATGGTGATCTCGTGATCCTGGGACGCTGCAACTACCATAAATACATTCCAGTTGCCAAGAGTCCAAGTTTTGATCACATGACTATGGGGATGCTGCAGCAAGATCCGCCGTAAGTCGCTTTTTTCAATGCTGGTGTAACTTTGAATAGTCACTAAACAAATGATTATAAGTTAAGGATTATTTTAATAGGCCGTGAGTTCAGCATTTTGACAGAAAAGTATATGCAGTGTACCTCTAATGCAAAGATGCAATATATCTGTATTTTTGTATTCGATGCCTTTCCCATCCTCGTTTCCTGCTGGATTACTTGTCTTTTGCCATTCAAATTATTTTAGTTTATTTCTGCCCCAAAGATGAAAGGGGTAACACACGAAGCTGCTCTGGATGTAGCTAAAACCAGCTTCTCATTCCTGCACGCTCCATGCAATTCATTCCATCCTGGATAAGTCTATTAATATAGTCTTCTATTTATATGCTGGCCCTTTACAGCACAGGGCTGAGAGCTGCAGCTGTGCAACTGAAACAAACCTCCTGCGAGTCGCTTGGGAAAAAGTGACCAGTTGAGACAGAGAAGAAAAAGTAACAGGAGTGCAAGCGAGAGTGCTCGGTGTGCAGAACCCAGCAGGGCAAGTTTGATGGATCGTAACTGCAGCACAGACAAAGACAGGTCAATACTTTTACTGCAGAGGCAAATCCGTCTCCAAAAGCTGTCAGAAACACGTACTATGCCTGCCGCATAAATAGCAGCCAGCAAAGATTTGGGTGGAGGGGATACAGAGCTTCTTCTCGCAGCATTTCCTGCTTACCGTAGTCATTGAGCTTCTGATAGGACAAGGACAAGAGGAACCAGATCCAACCACAAAAGGGAACCTAGGACTTCCGATCCAGCAATGGAGAGATCAAGCAGGACATACCTCAATGTGGATGCAGTGGCCTCTTGGGTGGGAGTCGCTCGACTCTTGCAGGCCATGTTTGGATGTGCTACATTCAGCCTTGTGGCCCACCGAGGGGGATTCAGCGCAGCCTACGGCTCTTTCTGTATATCGGTCTGGTGCTTTTGCTTTGCCGTCACCGTCTTCATCGTCACCTGCGAATTTACTCGCCTCCATAGCTGCCTAAGCATCTCCTGGGGGAATTTCACAGCTGCTTTTGCCATGCTCGCCACCCTCATGTCCATCACCGCCGCTGTGATCTATCCACTCTACGTCCAGTTTGACTGCGATTCCAATAGTTGCGAGGTGAGAAACTTCCGCATTGCCAGTAGTGTTTTTGCAGGGCTTCTGTTTGGGGCATATGCCGCAGAAGTATTTTTAACAAGGGCCAAACCAGGACAGGTAACAAGTTATATGGCCACAGTTTCAGGCCTCTTGAAAATTGTCCAGTCCTTTGTAGCATGCATCATCTTTGGCGCTCTGGCGAAGGACAGCCAATACAATAAGTACGCAGCTACCCAGTGGTGTGTGGCTGTTTACAGCTTCTGCTTTGTGGTGACTGTGGTTGTGGTGGCTCTCAACGTCACAGGAAAGACAGCAACGCTGAAATGCCCCTTTGAGCACTTTGTGGTCGTTTACACATTCGTGGCTATCCTGATGTATGTGAGCGCCGCAGTGATATGGCCGATTTTCTGCTTTGATAGTAAATATGGCTCCCCACAACGTCCCTACCAGTGTTCCCGAGCCATGTGTCCATGGGACAACCAAGTGGTCATTGCGGTATTCACCTATGTGAACCTAGTACTCTACATGGTGGATTTAGCATACTCGCAGCGTATCCGCTTTGTCTCAGCTCACTAATGCTCAGCTCGGATGCTACAAGAATCTTAAATTACTTCAAGAATGAGAGGGTTGGGACCCGTTACAAAGCCAACTGTGACAGACAAAGAATGAACTTCCATGGGGGAAAACAGGATGGTTTGAAAAAAATATGTAATGTGGTCTGATGGGCCATAAATGAAACATCTTCAGAATTCTAGCTCACAGACAGGTTTATTGTAACATCCAGTTCTCATAGATTTAATACTATGAATTCAGAAATAGATTTTGGGCTCTTATTTGTTGGAAGGACTCCTGAGTAATTTAAACTTTAGCAGAAATGGAAAGGCAGTTCAAATGCCAGAAAAAAAGCATTTGCCCATCCTAAGATAAGTTTTTGTTGAAGGAAAACATAGTACCTTTTTTATAAACCTGGTAGGTATTGTCAGCTATTCCACAGTGGGAAGGAGTAAATCATCATGAAGATGATGAAATCATTTCAACTTCAACATTCCTCCAGACAAAGGTGAATTTCTCTATGCATGTGCTGGGTGGGGAGTATTGGGGTATTCTTGCTGGGAGCTGTTTGAAAAATATGTTGACACTGTAACTGACAACTGCAACAGAAAGGCTGCTGTGTTTTCAAAACAATTACTTCTAGACTTTCGTTCTCAATCTGCAGTCCTTCAAGAAG